GGAGAAAATATATTTATTTAGAAAGATCTAATATGAGAATTAATCTTTTCCATATTTTCAATTATAGATTAAATCAATCTCAATATCAAAATTTCCGTAAGCTTAAGAATTCAAATATCGATAGACCATCAAATTTTCATCTATGTTATTAGAAGCAGAGAATCCGCTTATATATATATATATCTATTATGAAATAATTTCATAAATGAATATATCTTCGATTTGTTAAAAATTTGTTAATACTCTCGACTTATATATATATATATATCAAGATACTTTTGGACCTATTACGAAGTTTATTATTTGAAACATTATCCGAAAGGTGCAGGCCGTGGCCGCTTGAGAGAAGTGATGTCTAGTAACAATGGTGTCATGGTCGTTTTCTCTGCTCATCCTAGATCTGGTATGTTGTGAAACTGGCTGAGAAAATTGAAGGCAAACCATAAAATCGATGGTGGCACAAAGCGCCACTACTGCTCACTTGGCTTCAGCATGAAGCTGACACACCACCTGACATGAACTTGAGGCCGGTGCCGGAAGCATCTCGCAAGACTTGTCCGTTCAATTCAAGTCAGGCCAGCCGAATAAATTTTGCTCCTCGACCTCGTTCTGAAGACGCTGGAACCTCGAGAAACGTCAATCTCAAGCGAATGGGCAAACACAATCAAAGAAGGCGGCGCACAGCAGGAACAGCGAAGATCTCCCTTTAACCTATCATGTAAAGGCAAACCCCATCTCTTGAGCACGTCCACGCATCAATCTCGCAGGAAGCTCAGCACGTACTGTGTGTAATCTGGCAATATCCGATGTCCTCCATGTTGAACGGCCATCAAAGAAACGTGAGGGCAATTGTCACAGAAGACTTGTGATGATGAAAACCAGGTCATCCAGTCATCTTTTGCCCAGAGAAGCAGCAAGGGCATCTTCAACTCCCTGATGACGGCCTCTTTTCCCTTCACGACACGAATGGCTGGACAAACAAGCACCAGTTGTTTCACCACCGCCGGATGGGAAGCTGCAAACTCGGCTGCGACTGCACCTCCCCAACTCTTACCCATCAGCACAACTTGTCGCTCGGGAGCAAAGCTCTGCAGTATCTGCAGCAAGACGGGATCTACGCGTGTAGGGCCAAGGAGTCTCGGGGCCACAGCTGAGTTAGAGTGAAAGTTGGGAAGAAGCACGCGATAGCCTGACGCTGCTAGGCTCTCCGCGAGGCTGTCCCACTCACGAATGATGAAGGATGCAGAGGACAGTCCATGCAAGGCGAGGATCACGGGACCATCCTCTGGACCGAAAGCCTGGATGTTCACCCGCCCTACAGTCGTCGAGCATTCCAAACATGAGCCGCTGCGCTGCTGGCTTTTGCAGCTGCTGGAACCCATGGCCGACCCTGCCTAGATGCAGTCGTCCTGTCATTCGTTGAGCCCTCTGCAAATCGTGGGGGAAGGGGACGAGGGAAAGACAAAATCGTTCCAGGCTTTGGCTGCGGTGAGGCGCCGGCCATCTGATCACTGTCGTCAAACAGCAGCAGCGACTTGAACCTCAGAGTTGGAGCTTGAGATCGCGTGCCTTTGAGCAAGCCGGGTCTTAGCAAAGCACGAGTCAAAGGAAATGTACTGCGTGTGGTCCTCGGGATGAGCACCGTGCATTGATGGCTTGTGTGCCGTCTCTGGTCTCCATTTTAGCATGCAAGTTTCCTTGTTGAGGGCTGCAAGGAAGCCGTCAGGCATGTCGGCAACCTGAGCGAACACACAAGCAAAGTCGAACCACAGGGTCGTGCTGCTCGAACTCTCATAGGCGTGGACAGTCATGCCTCTTGTGGCCAGTGCATTTTGGATGTCCTGAACCTTGACCTTGGTCAGAGGACGGACGCATAAGCATATTCCACAGTTAGCCGGCTAGCGAAACAGCGACCATTGCCATCGAACTATGCGAAAGCCGCGGGCCAGATGTCGGAGCTGGGTCGCCTGCCAGTCCGCTGGTATCCGGGCGGAATTGCTCCCAGGCAATGGACAGCAGTCTGTCTTGCTCCTGCATGCCAATGTCGTCGCTTTCCGTGTAATGTACAAGGTACCAGTTCGCCATGCTTCCGCTCGCCGGAGCCCCAAACCTCTGGCTTCTTGCAGCGCAAGTTGATGATGCCAGCGAGGAACTCGGTGTAAGAGACCTGTCCAACTCAAGACTACAGGGGCTCACACCACTCGGTTGAGATCAATCTCCAAGTCTGAGCCAGAAGCTTGGCCCGTGCGGCCAACGTCCAACTCGCTGACGATCTGAAAGGACGTTACAAGGCAAAACCACAATACCAGTCTCTGTCGACGAATGCCAGCGGCCTCCTTGCTTTTCTGTTTGGCTAAACTTTGAACCATGACGCACAAATACAATATCACTTAACGCACATTCAGCATGCGGCACTAGACTTTGATAAATCTAAATCAAAGAGCAAGCTTCCGCCGCCTGCTCTGCTTGCTCCGGTGAGGCCCCAAACTGCATAAGCCCCTGCCTTCCAGAGCATGCAGATGCTTGGTCACAATCCTCTCTTAGTGCTAACCTACGAGCTGCGACGTATTTGCCAGAACAGTCGTCGAGCTGGAATAGAAACCAATCAACATATGCCAGCACCTGGAAGCTTTCTGCCGTCAATTCTAGTCATTGCGCCTGAGTTCTTCAGCAGAGAGATGCCCATCACCATCCGCGTCAAAAGCCTTGAAAGCCTGACCGTCGCAAACACTCACCCATGCAACGCAATGGAGGACTTCTTGGAACTTCTTCCTGCTTTAGGTACAAACAGGACCCCATCCATAGCCGCCTGTACAAGTTTGAAGGCCTAGCTTCGGAACCGACAAGCACACGTGTAGGCTCCCTAGAGTAGGTTGGCGGCTACTGTTTGGGACCTTATTCATGCAATGGGCAGTGTGAAGAAAACAGCTCACTCGAGCGAGAACAAGGACGAGCCTCGTTCACGGTGGTTTGCTGACTGGCATCGAGCTGAGTGGCAACCTGGACAGTTGCAAAAAGTTGCTACAGCCTTTCATGACCAAGAAACCAACTTTCGAGCTTCTATGTAACTGGTTCAGAACGCATGAGCTCGGCACGAACCGGGTGACAAACTTCTCAAATTCAGATCTCTGGCCAACCTGCTGTCCGCAATCAGGACGTCATCTCCGTGGCATCAGTTATCTTCCACTCACTGAGGCAAGCTTAGGAACTGGCTGCCAGCAAGCTTTGAATTTGATTGTTGTTCAGGGCACCAGCTGGATTACCTGCAGAAGTGATACAGAGGCAATCCTTCGCAGCTCTATGAAGTTCTATGAGGGTTGAAGAGCTTTACGTTTTGTTGTGCAGATGGTTTGCTACGATGGTGTACACTGTTGTACGACTTCTTGCAGACTCTGCTGGGCTCCAGACTGTGACCTGCCAGGCCCATCTGCACAAACCACCTGCGCCCAAAGATGAAGGGAGGCTTGCGGGCTGGGCGACTCGTGGCCGTCTCAATCGAATCGATTCCGTGTGCGCAGCTTTTTCACGCACAGCGGACGCAGCTCCTCAGCTTAGCGCCCGCAGCCCCATCCTGAGATCCAGCGCATCGCCGCTTTGAAGTCTGAGGTGAAATACCAACCTGAGCTCGTAGTTCTTGCAACTTGTAGCACCGGTGTCTCGTTCAGGGATTTGCATACAGGCACACGGGGGTACTCTGGGATTTCAATGCGAAATGGAATGATGCTCTCGGAAGCTTGAGTGCCGTTATTCAACTCCGGTTCCATCTTGCAGCCCGGTAGCAAATGGCTCGCGAGCACGTACACCTCCGCATGAGTTCAAGTACGAGTACCATGAATTGGCGCAGCTCCCACGAGCACCACCAAGCTTGTGATCAGGCGACACTAGCTGCCAAAGATGAAGCATGGCGCCCAACAGGCCAAGCCTAGAACACACATGTGTCTTTTCGAAACGCTCAAGATGACCCTAGTTCCCTGCTTCCTCCCTTCGTTCGCCTGGAATGCGGCCAGCTTCTTGTTTCTTACAGCCTACATACTTCGTTCCCAGCATCTTGATTGTTTGTACATTCGAGTAACATGCAGAAAGGTAGTCGGGATACCCGCGCACACACACATGACTACTAACTGGTGCAACTCTCGGGAGGCCCCTACGACACAAGAAGCATACCTACAGTAGCTGCCGCCAGGGCGCCCCCTCCAGCTGCAGGAACTCGGCGACAACCATTGGCGGCCGCTACACTCCTTCGGCGAAGAAATGCAAGCCGTGCCGGCAAGTGACTCGCAAAGCAGTGACTCAACACTCGAAGACGGAGCTGTCAAGAACAATGAATGTTGTTCGCAAAGGCATGCTATCCGCACACATGTCACACGCGGCACCCATGCCACTCCGGAAGCTTACGATTCGAGGCGGAGCCTCCACGGTTGCACTCTGCTCTGCGGTCAGCAATGAGCAATCAACATTCAAGCCTTCAGGGCCCAGCCTAAGGTTCTTGCAGCATTTCGTGACTGCAAAAAGGAATGTGGCATTTCCTTCTGAAGCCCCCACTAAATAGCTATTGACGCTTGCGCAGGTTTCCAGGCATTTTCACAGCGCAAACATTCAATGCAAACAGTTTAAGTTTCAGCGCTCCGCTTCACTCAATCTGCTGCGGTTCAGGTGCAATGCTGTTGTATTCCTAGTAGCATCGCCACTATTCGCCATTCGACTATCAGTTTTGTCGCCTGCTGCGGGGGCACAACAGTGGCATCACAAGCGGATGCCATGAGATGCAGGATCAGGCGACAGTCACGCGAAACCGGGCCTTCTTGTGATGTGATTGAAAAACATCGAAAATCCCAGCATACCTGGGAAAAAGAAATGCATCTAGTGTCTGCAAGCTTCCGACCGGCAGATGATTTCCATACGCCGGTGCTTGGCGTCTGTTTGGCTCGGGTCCAAAATACTGGAGTTGCAGCACGCCTCCAGCAATTCATTCAGCCAACAACGGTGAAAAAAGAAGAAAACTGTTCCTTGGCATGGGCAATGATTCGTTTTACTTTGTCTGAACTGAAAGGTCCAGCAAAATTTGCCCTTTTGTGCTTTGCGAGTCCAAAGCGCAGCATACGTGGCCACCTAAGCCCCGCGACGGATACTGCTTTCTGAATGAATGCACCTACACACCTCGACGAGGAAAGCATTCCGCAAGAGCAATCTGTAGAAGTGTGATGGGCTTCAACTGACTAGCACAGCAATCTGTCGAAGTGTGATGGAGTTCAACTGACTAGCGTGGAAGCAGAGACTGATAACAAATTCAAAACATATTTTGTCTTCAACCACGCCGAAGATGGCATTTCTCTCTGAGCCCAGGTGATTCAATGCCCACGAACCTAGCACTTCCAAACGAGTCCTGCGCGGCATGCCACCCGGAGAAGTGGAAATCTGGGCTTGTGCAAGCTTCTTCAACCCTGCCAGAGGGCGGCCACAAGACCAGCTGAATCGGGGGGTGGCACATGGGGACACTCAGCATCTAGTGATTTGGTTCGAGCTCGAGTCCGTCCCTGCAGTAGCTAGGAATCACAAAGACTCTGTTGTGTTACGTCTATAGCTGTATTCACGACTGGCATGCATTGTGAGCATCGGTTTTGACTACTGCCGTTAGATCAGGGCTCAGCTCGTTGCCGTTGAAAGGAGGCTGCTGATTGCGCCTTTGGGCCGTCCATATGCTAGAACAAGTTTGCCAAAGATGCTGCAGACACACGATGGAACAAGAGGACAACTGAGCCTTTTGTGGAAGCACGGACGCTGTGCATCGCACAGCAGGCATCCCTCGTCTGAGGAGTCTGTTGAGTCCACTCCTTGGTGTAGGCTTCGTGCCCATATGGTGCATGTCTCTGAGAGGTGAAGGCTAGACAGTGTGTCTGTGGTTTCAGCAAGAAGCTAGGTGAGATGTTGAGAGGGTAATACGCATCCCGACCTAAAACGAAGACAAATCACAAAATGCTCCAGCAGAAGGAAGCAAGACTGAGGCAGAAATATCAGATGGGCGTCTATCGTAGTGGCATGGCCAAGCTGTGTCACAAGAGTCCACGTCTCTGCTCATGGCATCATGAGACAACAGATAGCCTTTGCGCAGGCTGTTGTGACTCCACATGTGGTCCAGCCAACCTTGGAGTGACGCCAGAGCAAGGGTAAACCGAGTCTGCCGTGCCAACATCCGACAGCCCACTGTTCCATATCGCTTCAAAATGCTCTGCAAGTAGCACATTGAAAATGCAATTGATCAACCCCGAACGGGATCTGCGAGCCACACGAGTCGAGAAGCCGGAAGATGATCTGCACACCTCGCTGACTTCAGTAGCGAAAACGTCCTTGGCTTGGAAAGGCAATTATGCGATGGTGAGGGCACCATTCAGTCGCCTGCAGAAAGCCTCAAGATCCCCTCTGAAGCTGGCCAAGCACATCCAAGTTGGTAGTTGCGATGCCATGGTAAAAGATGTTCGCCACGTTCCGAGCATAGACCTGCGCATCAAACTCTTCAGCTGCTGTGGAAAATGACGAAGCCGCGGCAATCTCCCGAACAAACAGGTCAAGGGACATGGCGGTAGTAAGTCGGAAGCAACGCTCGCAAGACCAGACGTGCATGTCTGGCTCCGCCAATGTCGCCAGTCTCTCTCAGTGCACTCCGTTCGCAGTGGTGTGCCGCCGCACGTCGCTTGCTGCCAACATAGACAACCTGAGGACTAGGCTTGCTGTGGCTGGCTGGCCGCTGGCCACGTAGTCAGCAGCTGAAAACACTTTCGGGATCCAGTTAGTCTTGTTCTCACGGGGTCGTGACTATTGCCTGCTCGTCCCGGTGTACAAAATCTTACACTCCCTTGCTACCCGCACCCATATCGAGGATATGGCATGTAGCTCTGAAAGGCTATGGACATCACAAGAAGGATATGCGCGTCCCAGCATCGCGTCCATAGAAAGTGCGCACGTTCCGAATGTTGTTGTTCTCCCACATGATGCCATCCTTGTCGAAGCCTACCAGGAAAATGCCCTGCCCGCTGCACCGGCAATCTTGCTTCTTCGATTACAAAGCGAATCTCGCGCCTATACCGTCCCACAGCAAAGGGAGCTGCAAGAAGGTGGTGCAGAGCTGTGATGCTTCCAGCCATGATGGCCAGTTTGGCTCCTCGCGCGGCCCTCCATCACACCAGCAGGTCTTGTCCGCAAAAGTGGAGTTGCTGAAGGGCATGGAGTCGTGAGCAAAGTACACCTGTTTGGGACCTTTCAGGCTGATGAAGATTCTCGGCTTTGGCGTTGCCACGACACAGTAGGAAGCAAGTAGCACCCTCCAATTTGCCTCTGCACCAGACAGACCACAAGCCGCTGCAAGCACAGTTCAAGGGGCTCTCGGAAAGTGTGATCGAACCAGCGACCTGGCCACAGCCTTGGTCTTGAAACCATTTCTGAGATTCTGGTGCAAAATCATCCGATCGAATGTTATGACGTCTGTTTCTTGTCAAAGCAACTTCCAAGCCGCACCCAATCCAACAGTTTCTCTCGGCGCCAGTCGAAGCGCGCTGGTGAGCCCACCAAGCAGGCCTGAAAGTCTAACCTAGTCTTCAAAGCTCAAGTGACCTCGACTGAAAAAGAAGTCTGCTAAGGTTTGCTTCATCCCATCCACCTGCGCCACATCACCTTAGAAGTCTGGAACGCCATGTTTCCCAAGCAGGTCTGCTGATTGCCAACATGTACCTCAATCCACCCAGCTCTTGTAGGCTAAAACAACACCTCTTCATGATACCGAGGTGCTCATGGAGAAAGGAGGAACATCGTCACGTGCCCAAGTAGTGGAATGTAGGCCCTGTTGGCTTATCCAGAGAGCCTTGGCTTCGTTGTAACAGGGTCTCACAGGAGCAGCTTGGATCCAGCCGTGGAGCTGCACGGAGCTTCCCCGCACCAGCGGAAGCACCTCCAAATCAGTCCAAATCCACTGTAGCCATGACATCTAGGAAGACGCTTCCCGGAGATTCCATGGACACCCGAACGTGATACTACTGGCACTGGACGTTTAATTACACTTCGGATGATTTGCGCAATCATTTTCTCGGAGTGCTGTAGCTCAAACAGGAGCACCGGTCTTGGTCGCATCCGACCCTTTGCCATGCAGAACTCCGAAATGTCACTAGTTTGTCTTGGAAAAGGAAATGCAGACAGACATCCATTCACGCCATCCCTATCCCTGCGACTCTGACGTCGGTGCACATACAGCAATGGTCTGAAGCCATGTTCAGTCCCAGACCACGCCTGATGCTTGGAAACTTGGGCAATCCTGGTGCAAGAGGATCCTGCTCCCAAAGCATCCGAGCGTGTGAGCACGGTACCACTGCAGAATCTGCCGACTCAGCCGATTTCTGTTTCCAGAAGCCTCAACTGCGGCAGACACTGACTCTCATCTAAGCGGCCGCAGCTTGGCAGGCACTGCAATGGGCATTGGCATTCTCCACGGGCCACTACGATTCTACGATGTCCTCCCAATAAACAGGCTGAGCGTCGGCCAGTGGACAAGCCTTCCTCTCGTAGCTTGTTGCATCTTCTTCCTCAGCTGCTTAGTGTCGAAGCATGTCCAAACAGTCTCCGAATAACTAATCTGTGTGCCGTCTGGCCGCAGAGCGGTATCGGCCTCTCCATGTCAGGTGCTGAAAGCATCCCTCATCTGTGAACCTTTCCAGGGATCCCAAATCTTTCGTCAATCTAAACAGAATGGCCGGCCGAGCTGGCCTGAGAAATGTGTGCACGCCCCTGATGCAGAGTTGGACCCTTCCACTGCTGGGGCTGCTTTCCCACTCCTGAACACCTCATGCAGCAGAAAAGCCATGCGACACACCATATGTTCTACAGCGAGCTGTCGTCGATGGTCGACGGCTTGCGAACTCACGCATGAATGAAGCCAACAGGCGCAGTGCGCTTGTTGCGAAGACGGTCAGCAGGGGAATGGCAGTTGCCCAGCCCAGCATGGAGCTATATTAAACGAGCCACAAGAGTCTGCAGGATGCAGTGTCGCGAATTACCAAAGAATCACCTGCAGGGGGGCTCACCTGTCCTTCAAACAAGTTTGTGCAGTCGGCCGCTGATGCTCCATCTTCTGGAGCATCTGCCTCCAATGCAGCTTACAACTTGTCACTGCTTAGTCAAATTTTGCCGGTGAAAATGTCGATCTTTCCTGCAGATCTGCTGCGCTTCCTGGGTGGCTCCGCCCATTGCGGCCTAAGTCGGGCAATACAACAAGCTCACACAAGTGGACTCTCCCGGTCAACTACCCGTAGTGTGCTTCGAGAGGCTCCATACAAGGAATAACTAGTGACTAGTGATATGGAAATTTACACACGTTCCATGAGTTGGGGAATGTCTAGTTTATTGAATTTTCAACTAAAGGTTTAGAGGGAAAAGCAAACCTTAGGGGAGGGAGCGTCCAGTGCGCGGAACCTTTAGTAAAGCATAAACATTTTAAAGCAAAATGCAGGAAATAGAAAATCAAGAAAGTTTAGAAACAAATGAATTTTCCATTTAGATCACTCCTGGAAGCTATGGCCTCTGCACGACCCAAGGTCACAAGGCTACCTTCAGCTGGGAAGTGAGTCGACATGATGTCTTCGTCCCTGAAGCAGGCCCCTGCTGCGGCTTTGGCGATGATTTCTTGCGAGGGCATCGAATACTGAACACTAGGTAGTGGCGCTCGCTCTCGATCAGAAACAACTCAACTGATGTTTTGAGACATGGATACTTCGCGCTTTTGAGGAGTCCGCGTACTGGCTCATTCTTTGTCTGTAACACTCGTGCAGCAATACATACCTCCGCCCTGTAAAGCAATGATCGCTCTCTTGGAAACAAAACCGTGTGCAATTCAGGTGCTTTGGGCAAGCCAAGGCTGCCGCCCAGTCTGGCTCTTGCTGAACAGCCTTGGGAAATTCCTCACAAGGAGAGCACATACGTCCGTTCTTCGCAACCTCCAACCCAAAATCCCTTCCGGTCCCAATGCGCATGCCAACGTAGTGTTAGATCGCGGGCCTTTACAGTGGCTGCGATGAAGGGCAAACGCCCAGACAACAGGAAGAACAGCATGCAGCCAGCTGACCTGAGCAAACCGGGACATAGTTCAACATCTTCAGGTCGCTATGGTGGTTGCACCGCAGCTGCGAGTACCGGGCCAAACGTCGCAGCTCTTGCTGAAGTTGCCCTGCCACACCTGGACATGTGCACGAACACAAACATCATTTACACGTGCATGACTGCATGTCCAGACGAGGCCATACGTGCCTCGGGGGCCATGTACGGCGGAGTGCCCGACCTCGCTTTGACTTCCCCCGCTGTCGGTCCACTCCGTTCGAACATCGACGTTGAAGCTTGAGACAAGTTTGGGATGTTTGAGCTTGGCGAAGTCTGATTCTCACGACCAGGTACACCAATTGTCACATTCTATCTTAGCTGCTTAGCAGTTGAAGGACTTTCTTAGATTGAAACCTTTCAAGGTTTAAGATCTCAGGCCTAGACCTTGCAGCTTGATTTGTTGCAGCTGCAGCTGTTAAGAGTTACCGACAACCTTAACACGCGCAATTCATGACATGAACCGAGGCGTTAGGATTCACATTGACATCTTGACGCATGATGTGCGATGCCAGGGTTCGCCGTTGCATCCAATGTGCACTGGCCGCATTACTTCTGTGAAACCCAATCAGACACGATCACTACCAGGAGTCACATCCATCCGTCCATCGGCAGCAAGCACGCAGGGGTGCAACTGGAGAGCAATGTTCGCACCATCTGCCCGATGCATTGACGTCGGACGATCAACTCTCAGGCATGCGAGAAACTGCTCATACATGTTCAACCGGAATCCTAAAACGGAAGTCGCTGCCTAAATCCAGACGACATAGCACACCGAACCGCTTGCTGGCTGTGTCCTCAGGCAACCCAGTTGCAAGTGCCGCCATGTCGTTTCGACTGACAAGTCCGATTCCACTGGCGCAAGGAAACACGATCGCGCAAGCACGCAGCCGGCAGTTTCATAACTGGTGCCGAGCTAACGAATAAGCTGGCTCAGGGAACCTACAGACGGCAGGTCAACTCTGTCATATCCCAGGGCTGGGGATGGCAGGGGTAAGAGCAAAATGACCCAACCTGTCTACAAACGGGAATCACACAGGCACGCAAGAATACGTCAACCTATGTCAATTCTGTAAACGAAGCATTGCTCTGCTTCTTCCGGCTGTCGGCCCCAGCTACTCCAGACTGTGGGGCCCGGCACCACATCGCTGCGGTCCGTGGAGTTTGCAAAGACCTTCAAAGAAAGCCACAGTGCGCATGTAAACTGGCTGATGTACCACGCTCGATGCCTCCGCCAAACCGAAGTCGACCACGACCTGGTACAGCGGCAATCCAGACACACGAGGACGGCAGATCCCTAATTAGTTCATGGTTGCTTGGTTGGGATCGGCTGCTACTTGAGAGAGTTCGGTAGTCAGAGCAAGAGGAAAGATTCCACCATATGCAGACAAGCAGCAACATGCATCTGTGCAACTGGGGTGTCCTGATGCTGAGCAGGCTACATCCAATCCCCTCCGCAACAATCTACACTTTGTCAGACACAATCCGGTTTCTAGGCTCAACTCCTAGCTGCTAGCTCCAATCACCACAAACCACAGCATTTCTGACGGCTCCCGAGTCGTGGAGAGCATAACGTTCTCAGGCTTGAGGTCCTCCGAAAACAGGGAACATCCAACAAAAATGCAAAGGTATGCAAAGGTTGTAGCGTTGCAATTTTTCGAAGCCTGCTTAGACTCGTAAGCCTCCTCTAACGTCCATGTCGCATGATTCCAGCGGGTGTAGTGCTTTGAAAGCCGAGCTCGCTCTCCTTGTGAATTACGGCCTTCGAGTGGCAGTAGGCAATCGCCGACAGAGTGTGCTGCATCACCTGTCTGCAAGAAAGCAAATAGCTCTGAGAGTTCATGGCCTTTGGGGTACACCACACACCGCTCTGCCGCTACGGACGGTGGCCTTCGAAACCCAGAATTCATAGGAGTAGGCATCCATGGGCTCCAGACGCTTGACCTGTGCTGTTTCGTGTCCGGCATAAAAAGCCAAAATGCAGCATTGCGCATGCCGAGAACGCGGCGTATGCCCCGAGATCGCCACCCCGACATTGCTCCTGCAGCGGAAGGTTCCACTTCTTTGTCTCAGTGCTGATGATACGAGTAGCTGAGTAGCCACTAGTCGAGACTACAACTCTTCGTCGGTCCATAACAAGGTAAAAGTTCTCGTCATCCTCAAAGTCCTGCAGCGGTATTCAGCGGGAAGCCGACAGTCTCTCACGCGGCTCATAAGTCCTCAAATATTCTGAGGACGTGGGGATGGTCGAGCTGTTTGAGCACAGCAAACTCCTCGCGGACCTGGCCGCAAATCTCATGCCCCACCGTCGGCAAACGGTACACTGTACGTCTACAGCTAGAGAGATGCGGTCACAGCGTCGACAGCCCTCACAGGTCGCCACGGCCCAGGGAGCCTTGGCTTCCGATGTTTTGGCTTCCTTAGCCTGACCAGCAATGCGCAGGGGACCGAACGAACAAGCCTTCCGCCCGACTGAAGGCTGAAAATGCCTCTACTGCATGTAATGGGAAGGCTTTGGTGGTGCTACGCAAAAACAAAAGCTGCACAAGCCATTCATATCTACTGCATTGACCCGCCCAGAGACCGGATGCTGCAAATTCAGCATTTCGCTTGCCTTGAGCTTGCTGATGATCTTGCAGACTCGAACCTGAGTCCACACGGCGACGTGCAGTGGCATGGGGCATCGTGCCAGCGGCATGGAAACCACTTGTTTCACATGCGCTGCTAAAGTGAGGCGTCGTCTCGCTTCTCCTTGTTTTGGTCAACCTGTGTCCTGGCAGCCACGCAAAACCGTTGCTGCGCGTTCCAGATGCACCCCAGCGTGCGCACCCGCGCAGGCCGCCTGTGTGAGACTAGGTACACTGTGCCAAAAGAGCCCTTTCCCAGCTGCCGCTGCACCTCGAGGCGAAGGAATCGATTCCAGGACATGAAGGCTGGCGAGAACGTTGCATTGCTTTCCCCAGTCTGCTCGTCTGCCGACCAACATCGTCGGCAATGATGATGTGGCGATTGCTACCGGGAACAAGCGTGAGGCGACAATGATCTATCACCACACTATAGCCTTGCCTCGTACACGTCGTGAAACCTGCACGGGTGAGAAGCTTGAAGGCTGCGAGTTGCATCCGAGAAGATTCATCCTGATTCGACTCGGCGACGAACCCACCCGCCAGCACGGGCCTCTGTGGGTTCTTCTGGATGAACTCTTGCCTCCACCGCTTGTCCCTCTCCTGACGCGATGCAGCGCGCTATGCGGGGAAAGGAGAAAGATGTGCGGCATATGGGTGTTACTTTGTCGCTCCTCCGAGCAGGAGCGAGCATCAGCGCCAGGATTCACTCGAACTTCCTCGGAGGCCCGCAGGAAGCACCTGAATCTTCTTCGCGCTTCTCCAGTGCTACGCACAGGAAAGGTCAGCTGGAGGGGTTCTGCCGGGTGCTGGCAATTCTCGGAACATAACACTTCAGTTTCCTGAGCTTCGGGAAAGGGGTGGCGAACTTGGCGAGCAGAAGGCCAAGCGACCAGACGAATCCGGCATTTCTAGGAGCAGCGCTTGCTCGGACAGTACATTCTGCGTGATCTGTAGAATTGATGTGACATAGCTCTCCACGTGTAGCCGATCTTCAAATGGAAGAGGCCTGACACCCTGTGCAACATCGTTCGGGAGACTGCCACTGTTGCAAAGTTGCAATAGGAACTTCGTAAGCTCTGCGAGACACCCTTAAACTCGAGAGAAGAAGCACCGAGCAAAGGCCCGAACAAGAGACGGAAGAGGAGAGCCTCGAAGTCCTCAGAGCTGACGCCTCCGGATTTCTCTTGGAAGGTGGCTTCTGTCCATGTCCGATGCCCCTCCTTTCCTCCGACCCTCGAAGCACCAGGAAAGTTCCCCGTGGGCCAAGCCCTCTGTGCCTTCGTTCTCGCCCCGGTGCTTGTCGAAGAGTGCCTGCTTTGAATACGGAATCGGCTGCCCGCAGTCTGCGACAAGCTCTGAGCACTGCAAGCCTCCCGGCTGGCCCTAGCTGCTTGCTTGCGTCGTGGGAGTGAGACATCGAGCTCAAGCTGCTCAAGCTCCCCAAGCTCCGAAGCTCCTGGCCTGCATCTGCTTGTCTCCCGGTACGCTGATGTGAAGCTCCTGCAAAGGATCAAAAGGCTTCAAGGAAAACACGCACACACATACACACATACATCTGTGGACTTTTCCAAGCCTGGAGCAGTTCCCGCAGAGCCTGCTGAAAGTCCTGGCAATCGATGCAACCAACTGCATGCAAGATTACATGCTCACAGCATGCCTTCGCTATGTTCATCATCTCGTCATCATTGTTAACAGAAACAGCAAGCGGCGGCAGCAGCGCCAGCAGCAGCCCGGTGCGGCTGCAGCACCACGGCAATCGCCGCCGCCAACGCCAACGCCAACGCCAGCGCCAGCGCCAACGACAACAACAACAACAGCCGAAGCCAGAGAGGATGTAGACGACATCGACCATGCCGAGGCGACTAGCAGTAGTGGCACTGCAACGGTTACCGGCTTGTCGGTCAGTCCTACCAGGGAGGGCTCAGCCGCCATCACCAGCTCCGCCATCACTTGACCATACTTGACCCAATATATGAATTGCTATAGCAGCGGTTCAGATTCAGAACAGCTTGCTCATCGGCCAAGGTCAAAGACTCCTCGAAGCCCAGGCGATTTCCAGCCAGCAAGGTGCGCCCGGCCTGCAAAGAGGCAGGTCACCGGCACTTTTTGCTAGACCGGCAGCCCGGCAGGGCCTTGAACGGCCTCTCCGCATATGCCCTCAGCCTGTCCTTGCTCCGCATGAGCTCCACCTGAAAAGGGCAGGAGAGAGGCCTTGCAGGACCATGTCTGATACCACGGTGCGGGCAAGAAAGGCTTTCACTACAGTAGTCTCCTACCACGGGATTGCTGGAGGTTTTGCCTCAAGTGATGTAAAAGTCGTACTTGGAGAGACCCTTCCCACGTGTGAGTCACAATCTAGCTTGCGGCCGGAATGATCATGCCTTGAGGGCTGCGCCCGTCAACTCACGGCACGTATGGCAGCGGAAACGCAATTGCCGCTGCCTTCCGTCTAAGTGAGGGCCGGGCCAAGTCTCTTTGGGCTTTCTCTGTGAAGTTCAGCCTGGAGCCTGGTGCTCGCAGATCCGTGGAGCTTACAGACCTTACAGTATAATCGAGGGACCTATTCACAGACTCCAGGGTCAGACAGGTCTTGCAGCCACAGCGCATCAAGAATGCAAGCTAAAAAAGGAACCGGCGAGGATCGGTACAGGATTGAGGAACGAAACACCCTTCAACTGAGACCGGCCGAATCCAACCTTTGCACAAATCGCGATTTCTGAAGTTTCTACTAGTAAGGTAAGACCCCCAGAAACTGGCGACGACTAGAAGACCCATGGCACACCTGGTGACTTCTCGGAGCCAGCAGAAAGTGTCGACCGCGACCTGCACACACGCGACAAAACGGCGAGAAAAACAGGCTCTTGGGATCCCAGGACTTCAAGTCTCGAAGATCGACGTTAGCAGGCTTGGAGATGATTGGGATGAAGCCTCAAGCTTAGCAAAGTTCAACCGCCGTGCCATCTCCACCCCCCCTGGAGAAGTAGTCTCGTAGTCTCGTTGCCTCCTTTATCACCCGATACTCCCGTCCTAAACGGCCGAGGCCTAGCGGGGCGCGGAGCGTTCGGGCTCGCTCTTGCCGTGGAGGCTGATGCAGGGCTCGCTCCTCAGGATCTCACAGGGCAGAAGGTTTCTCCTTCGCTCGGAGAGTCAGGAGCGAGGGACGATGCTGCTTGTCGCAGACTACGGCAAGCCCTTTCAGCAGCAAGAGTCGGTTTACCACATCACTTCATTTCTTAGAATTCCACCGTTGGCTTTTCATCATGACGCCTCGTCGCTTTCAAACATCATTTGTGTAGATATTGGCACCTGCGTCGGCTGGCTGCATAGCAAGCCGTGGGTGAATCGTCAGCATAGGGTTAGCAGGGGGAGCAGTGCGTTCGTCTCCATCGCTTTGAGTGCAAGCATGTTTTGGCCAGGACATACGGTGCCGAAAGCACATAAAACGCTCTCGGGCGCTCTATAAGCTCGTAACGCAGGCCGGGGGGGAATGATCGGAAGTGCCAAAAGAAGACAGCGGCAGCAAGCAGTGTCCTGAGATCTGGGAGTGCCTGGCGCTGTCAAGGTCCGAGTTCGCCTCACAGGTTTGGGGTATCAAACATGCGAGGCCAAGTGGTCGAGAGGCCAAACAAAAATGCCCCGCGGCATACATCCAAGAACCGAGGAAGTGTAGCTGACGCCAAACCAAAGAGCAGAGCGCGACAGAAGCGGTCCTTGAAACGAGAGGTTCCCGGCGTTCCACTGGCGCTTGCCTGCACCAAGAGTATGTTCAAGAAACCCTGGCTGTCAAGATGCCTCTGTTCTCTCGCAAACCAGAATGGCTGCTGCAACCAGGCACATGTACGACCAACGGAGAGCTTTCGCGCCTGGGGCGTCCCAGCGGCGGTCAAAACCGCCGGACCGAGTGGTGCTGGCCGCCGCTCCTGATTATTGTGAAATAAAAACATCGAATCAAGAGACGAGAGATCCCCAAGTATTGGGCCCTGCCCTCGCAGATTTTCTGATCCCATAACGTTTGTTCATCTTTCCGTGGCCACTACCACTGTCTCTACCCAGCCGACCCTCTAGGCTCTTCGGCTGCGTGGCTCGGAATGCCGGCACCGTCACCGTTTATGTATGTATGCACGCATGTACATCTACAGATACTAGATACTGATGAAATAGACACAGATAGAGATAGAGAAAGAGATTGTAGATACAGAAGAGATGCAGATGTAGGCATACATACAGGTACTAGCATAGATATAGACATAGATATGACTCATGTTTGCCATCACTGCTTCCAATGGTCCTTAATTACTCTTACAGCTACTCTCACTAAGTGCAATGACTTAGACTCTTTTTCTATCACTAAAACCCTAAACTCTAAACCCAAACCCCAAGCCCTCAACCCTGAGCCCGACATCCCAAACTTGCAGCCCCCAAACCACAAGCACCCTATAAACCTGCATAAAGACCTCAAAAACTGTCAGAAGTCCTATAGACGCCCTTCAAGAATCCCGAAACACCTAAACCCCAAACCCTTGACCCTAGACTCGAGACATCCCTAAACCCTGAACCTTTCCAGCTGCGCTTAGCGGATCTTCGGGGTAGCGGATCTGTCCTCGAGCAAGGTGTTGCTTCGCATCACCGGGCTCGGGCTGGAGACCCGAGGAGCAGAGCCTGAGAAAGATCATGCTGGCAGCACGACTTGTCGAAGTCTTCAGCAGATCGAGCCTCCACAGGGGATAGGACTTCTCTGACCGGCCTAACACAGGTGGCCACTGGCCAGGAAAACTAAGGATGGCTGATGGCTGCGAGAGACACCGAGAGAACTTGGAAGCTGAGGCCTGAGCCCGCGAAGGAAAGGCAATGCAGCCGAGGCGCCTGCCATGCATCAACCGCACCTCCCCGGCCTCTTAGTCTTACATGCCTCGACCGTCCAGGCAGGATGTGTACCCCCAATATGTTGAAGATCGACAGAGTTCTGCATTCCGCGAAGTATCGAAGCCTTCCCGGCGAGCGCAGCTGCGATCCGTTCGACATCTTGGAGCCAGGAGACTGCGATGACGACGAGCCTTGCCCTCAGATTCCAGGTGCTGCGTGCATTCAGATCGCGCTCGATAACTGCAGGATGTTTATTCTCGCTACAGGCAACCAACTTCTGCCTTTCTCGTGTGAATCGTTTCAATGTCTATACTGCGGGGGCAGGTGCCAAAATTCTGCAGGCAGACCCGAAGCATCCCGAAGACTCTAAGCCTTTCGCTTGCACAGAAACCACAACTTCTCGGACTCCGACTCAAGATTTGCAGCTGCTGGCTCAGCGTCGGAGCTTCACCCTCAGCAGGGCTCCAAGATCCGAGTCTGCGCTCAATTGTGCATTCCCTGTTCCAAGTACGTACTCTCGCACAGAACGACAACACGGGCAAGAAGTGTGGCCGAGCTGCTGCCGTCTTGGCACGCGAAGGCGAAGAGAGCGGTTGAACGGAGGCCCAGATCGTTCCGACCTTGGGAGTTTTCGACAGTTCTGCCGACAAAAACCCAACAAAGCCCCTCTTTCTCTTTGGCGAAGCATGTGGGGTCCGGGCCAGGGCTTCACCACGCAGCAGAGACGAGGCTTGCTTTTGGCCTCAGGCTGAAAGTCCAAGGTGCGACAAGTGGAAGCCGTCTTTGCGGGTCTCCGACCATCCCTCTGCTGCGAGATGAAAGCCTCAGGTGCGAAACACTGACGCTCCTCCTGGACTTGTGGCTCTCGCGCGCTGTTCCCGAAGGAGCCTGGAGGTCAAAGCGGGACTCGCCGATCATGTTGGGGTCCTGGCACGAATGGCCGAGCACGAAGGGTCGACGTGTTTCCTGTTGAGGGCTCGGGGACAAAGTCGGGGCCTGTGGGTCTGAAAGAGTGGTTCCGCATCTAGGGCCTCGGACATGCTGATTCGCAGAATGTCCTGCTTTTGTCGATGCGGGCGCTTTGAATCCATTCTGCCACAGCCTTCAAGGGGCAACTGGGCCCAATTGTCGAAGCGCGGCGGGCTCTCGACCTTTGCGAGGCTGTGCTTCAACTCCAGTGGTACGGGCCGCCACGGGCAGCAGCTTGTCTCTGGGCACTGTGCACAGGCCCGTGTAGTTTGGTTCTCCGTAGACGGAGCTGTGCTTTTCTGAAACTTCCTGCCTCGAAGGAGCTCCGAGACGAAAAGTTGACCAAGCACATCAGCAACTGTCCCAAAGACCTTCCTTCCGGGCCTTTGCGAGTACTCGTAGCGATGCCAGTGTTGGGAGCCATACATGTCTTGACCCATTATTGTTTCGCCATCAAAGAACATGGCCAGTGCCATAGGCGCCGGGTCTATAACCAAGAGCTTCCCTTGAGAAGCCTCTCTGGTCTTGTTAGGCCAGGATGCGACGAGTTTGTTGACACTCTGCTGGGCCCATACAGCTCGCCCCCAGCTGATGGCACACTTCTTTTGCACGCAAACCGGGAAGTTCATCGGGCTGTAGAGGCCTGCGAACAAGATGACTTTCCCGGTCAGAGTCGGCAGCGCCTCCTGGAAAATGGGGCTCCAGAAAGACTCCAGCTCATCATCAAAGCCCCTTTGGTCGGAATGCAAGTTGAAGCCCAGCTCGATAACAACAATCTCATGATTCTCCTTCAGTGTTTTCAAGATCCTTGCTGAGGCCCAGTTGCGGTCACTCTGCTCGTAGCCGGGCAGGCGCCAGTCATGGAAGGCTAGATGGAGTTTCCTGTCGACCTCATATTCTAGCCAACCCCAGCATTTAACGGTCGTACCCACGCCCGGAATGCTTTTAATTCCGGCGAAACTCTGCCAAGCATTCGGAACCAAGGCGTCCAGGAGACTCTGCAGGCTCCCACGGAGAACCGAGCTCCCTGCGGCAATCAAGGAAAGGGGCTTCCCGGGCTCTCCCTCGATCATCTCGAGGAGCCTGTAGGTGTCCGCTTTGCTGAACACGTTCCAGTAGCATGTCCTTGAGACGTATGTCCAGCCATCCCTTGGACACCCCAATCTGCGGCATCTAGATGCCTCGCTGACCACGGTGCTGCGAACCCATCGCCCCCTCATCTCGTCCAGTCCCAGTCGACAGTGACGCTTGGGAATACGGCTCGCATTAAAGGAAGTTAACACGCCACCATCAGGGCTCAACTGAGATACCTGCAGCGCTTGGGGTTTGGCGCTCAGAGCCTCGATCCTGTATTCTCTTGGTTCTAGCCGGTTGGCGCGTGGAGGCGGCGTCACGGCAAAAAGATAAACCATATAACTGCCGGGATCCATGATTTTGAAGGACACATTCCATCCCTCAATGTCGGTTGCATCCACCCTGGGAGTGCCAAGCTCAGCATACAAAATGTCCCCAGCCTCCGAGCGGATCCAAGCAAAGACATTCGGGGCACTCGCAAAAGAGAAATGCCCATCGATCTTGATCCTAACTACTTCATCCACCATGACTTCCTTCACGTCGCTTGTTCCATTCCCCAACCAATGTACGTGCATCTTCGTCATGACGTGCATGTTTAAAAAAGGCTTCCAGGCCTTCAGCGGACGAATGGAAGGACAGGACGCATTGCACAGTGCAGGATCTCCGGACTTTCGTGGCGTGTGTAGTGTTGTGGTCTGCGTACCTCGGTCATGAAGTCTCAGGCCCATCACACTCGTCGGCAGCTTGCCGACGAGGCCATCCCAGCTGAACACACTGGGTACAACAGTGATGGCGACAAAGCAGCAGCACAGTGCGGATGCAGCCCGCAAGTCAAGCATGTGGGCCATCGAGTTGGCTGCAACTGCTGCAACGATTTCATTGAGCCAAGCTGTTTGTACGGCTGCTGTATTACTCATCCTGATCTCTGAACATGCGACCCCTGGACATGCTGCACCGCGAAGTAATATACCGACTCAGATCTAGCATCAAGTTACATCTTCGTACAAGTAGAACATCTATGTGGCAGCTGAACAAGCACTCTAAGCGTCAACCTTCCAGCGAAAGCCCTGAACACCTTGACAGAGACACCCCTTTGCAACCGCCCCTCGCCCGCGGACAAGGCTGGCAGGCACCAGCACTCGCAGGGTCATCCACCGGCCGGTGCCCATCACAGGAAAACGCTCCTGAAGTTACGGAAACACCAGAACTCCGAGCTGCTACTCAGGATCTTGCCTATTAAGGACCGGCCCCGACCATGGGACCAACCAAATATGGCCAAACTCAAAAACAACATCTGGGCCTATCTTGATAAAGAGACCCACCAGAAACAGCCGTTCCTAAAGCCTAGACACGGATTGACCACGATCTGGCACGGAAATCCAAAAACTTAATATAAAAAGGCATCAACATATAAGACTAGAAGAACATACGAACATGTGAATATGACGATATGACAAGTTGGTGTAATACAACAGCATGTCAACGTAAAAAATCACGCTAAATATGAAAACGAACAATGACATAATAATACAATACGTTCATACCTAACTGTTGCAAAACGTGTATAACAATATACAATTCCCAAGTATAACGATGCGGTGAAATAGTGCGACAGCCATCTGACATGATCAGATTGTTAAGCAATAAAACAACACACAAGTCATATAATTACATAATCATGTAGTAGAAACATGACATAAAGCTGTAAGAAAAGTATAGTAACATAATGATACAGCAGCAACCATGATGCAAGAGCAAAACATAGCCGGATTAGAATATGACAATATACAATATAACCATACAATAGTACACTGGCATAATCATGGTATAATATCTGGAATACCAATACATGCTCAAATGGTGATGAACTAACTAATAAAATCCAAGCACGGAATTACACAGCTATATAGCCATACAGACATATTCTCTCGTATAACCATTGGTAATAACATCAATAACAATAACAGCAACAATAACAATAGACT